TCTTAATTCTAATAGTTTATATAATCATTATTTTTATTTATTAACTTTGAAATTGTTGTTTTTTTAATTATTTTAACTAACCCAAAAATCAAATTATTACTTCTAACTTTAAAATAAAATTATTTGTAATTGAAACCATAACTCTTATTTATTCAAATTGTATTAATATGTAAAGACCAAGTGTAACCTATATCATCGTTAAATCTTATCTTATAAAACCAGTGAAACTTCAAAATCGTTAAAATTCATGGCTCTCGTCGCATTGCACGGGTACACAACTACTACTACCTCATAAACCAGATTTGGTAAAAGTCTTAAAGTCTTAAATACAACTTATATTACATAAAGTACAATTTTTTTATGCACATAATCTTAAATCTCTTAATTACAAGTTTAAGAACCTCAAACTTAGTTTGATAAATATTTGACTATTTTATGCATTTGCATGAAAGCCCAAGATACCATTTTTTATTAAGGCATAATGCAAACCCATATGATTTAAAAAATAGACTTTTGATTGTCCAAGATACCATTTTAATTAGTCCTTATGTGATATTTTTATTGGAGAATAGGTCTAATGAGAAARGAAAGTATGGTCAAATCTTGCATTTATATAATTTATACTATTTTATTAAGCAAATTTAACAAAAGTCTTAAAGTCTTAAAATATTAAAGGACCAAAATACTCTTTATACTACCATTAGGTTACTTTTTCACTTTTTCATCTCTCCTCTCCTCACATACACTCACCCCCTCACATACTCGCACCCTCTCACAACCGATTTTTTAAAAATTATAATTATAAATTTATATTTTATACCCTCATAATTAATTAATTTATTTACTTTACGTTATTTACTTTTAAATGTTTCATTTTAAACCTTTATCAAATTAACATACATAATCGTATATCAATTAAAACATGTTTAAAAAATACGTTTTTATTTTAACAAGTTATACAATTATAATCGTCTCGTTAATACCTTCGAAATGAGTTAAATATTGAATATTTTTTGACTTAATTATATTATTATATATTATATATACTGTGAAAAAATATTTTTAATATTTACGATTTATACTTTTATAGTTATTTATTTATATATATATATACTATATATTTTGGGGTTAGGCTGTCTAAATTGCACTGTATAATATGTTCTGAATTAAAATGTTTTTGGGTTTTTTTGAAATATAAATATATATATATATATATATATATACACATGTATTAATTCAACCTTAATCTGAGTTTTATGGACAACAAAGAGGGTAATCAATTGAAATTTCATTCTAAAACCCATCTCATTCTAAAACCCATCCTTTTTTATCTTTTCATGTCTCATAATCTGTCAAATTTATAGTTTTCTTTATTGGTTTTGAGTGTTTATCTTAGAACTCAAGTTTCTTGGTTCTTTGCTTTTGGTGTAAATCAGACACATTTGTGGAGTCGTTTAAATATGTTGGATTTTATACTGTCATACAATTTTTTTTTCATCGATAGTCTGTTATTAGAACCATAACTCTTATTTATTCAAATTGTATTAATATGTAAAGACCAAGTATAACCTATATTATCGTTAAATCTTATCTTATAAAATCAGTGGAACTTCAAAATCATTAAAATTCATGGCTCCCGCCGCATTGTGAAGGTACACAACTAGTCCTGTATTGAAAAACATGTGAGTAGTTTAAACATGGGTTAACTGATACATTGTGTTTTATGACTTGTCTTTAAGAATTTTTTTTAAAATCTTGCATAAAATGGTTATAACTTGTGGGTCACAGGTATGCCATCAACTTTTCTGCAAAGGGGTCACAAAAGTGAGACTGAGGAGCTTGTCCAACAGCCAAAATAGGTGACCCTCGGTCACTTGCGATTCTGCATGCTTTAGACTTTAGAGAGGGAGGCAGCAGGTTTGTTTGTTACCATTTTTTGAGCTATCAGGGAGAGAGAAGCCATCCGCCAGAGCCATATCATAATCGACAGAAAGGGTGTTACTTTTTGAYCCATCCATAGCTGCAGCATACCATCTTCCAAAACAATGAAAGGTCCTTCCAACTTTTCAGAAGCCGTGGCTGGCTGGCTGGCTGGCTCGTCCACGCTTTCCACCCCAGAACCATGCTTTGGAAAGTTGAAAAAAMCCAACAGGTCTTCAGTACAGGGCAGATTTCCATGAGAGAAAACTCTGAAAATGCAAAGAAAAACCAAAAAAACACACATTGAACCATCTTCAAGGGTGTTACTTGCATAGAGCCTTATGACCTCCTTTTGCCCTTTAATGGCGTTTTCATAGTTTTTTCAGAAGGGAGTTGATCCACTTCCCCATTGAACCAAGAGGGATAGGATAGCAGCGGCAACACTTGCTACGCACCACAAGTGGTGCATCTATGGCAGCTGCCACCACAGACCATATCAACACAGCTGCAAAATAAGGAATGAGGAAAACTCTGTCGGAAGAAATTAAGCTGCTTAAAAATGGAAAAAAGAAAATGTGAGGAATAAAGCAAGGTTTGGATCGACTTATTTATTTATTTATTTATTTATTTATTATTAACCCGGATATCCAACCCGCTATACGAGACGACTAATCCCAGGACGACCTCCTGCTTTACAGATAGCCCAGAATCACCGCATTTGGACCTCCGTGGCTACAAATGGATTTTTATTCCTCATTGGATTTGAACATGAGACCTCCTAGTACTTTTGATCTTTGATGCCAAACTCAAACCAATCAGACACCAACTTGTCGTTGACTATTTTGGGTTTGTGTTTTATAAGATTTTTGATAAAATGATTGTACCTTGTGTTTAAAGACATGTACTTATGTAATAGAGAAAATATGATTTGAAAATCCTAAAAACGTGATACAGTCAATTACACATATTTGGTCCTTGTCATATTAAATCAATAAACCACAAAAGGACGAAATGCAGATGACAAGAGCCCACAAATATGCCATTACCATTTTTCAAAATTCTAGTACCTCACACACCCTTATATACCACCTTCCCATTCCTCTTGGTTTCCTCCCCACCATTTTTTCAGAATTTCCTCCGGTTATGAGATAGCACCATTTTCAGAATTTCTTCAATGGCCTTGCGTAACTACCGTGAAAGAATAAACGCCATCAAAAGGATACCGGATGATATGGACCAGCTGATTGTCGAGCAGGAGAATGCTATCAAGATTAAGGATGAGACTATGGCGGAGCTTGCTCTTCAAATCCCTCCACTTCAAGAGAAGCTTCAAGCGACAAAAGGAAAGGCAGATGACAAGAGCCGACAAATAACCGTAATCAACCATGATATGAGGCACGCCACTACAATTCCAGTACCTCTACCTCACACACCCTTAAATAGCACCTTCCCTTTCCCCTTCTCATTCTCATTCTCATTCCTCCTGATTTCCTCCCATTGTGAGATAGCAGAAATGGCCTTGTCCATCTTCCGTGAAAAAATAAATTCCATCAAATACCATAGAGACGCAAATGGTGGAGGAGGAGAATACCATTAGGACTAAAGAGCAGACCATGACAGAACTTGCTCTTCTAATCCCTCAACTCAAAGAGAATCTGCAAGAGGCGGTCGATAAGCTGAATGAAACCAAAAGAATGTTGCAAGCCAGGGAGATGGAGATTGAAGAGCTCAAGAAGAAATTGACTGATAATAAATGATTTTTCTAACAATCTTGATTGTGTTTATGTTTTTTATTCTAAGAGGGTTTCTTGTTCTTTATATTGTAGGTAACTAGTGGAGCAATTTTTAGAATTTCTGTCAAAGTTTTTCCATTCCGTCAGTATGTTTGGGTTTCTTACGACTATTAAAGTTTGATTTGAATATACTTTTCTGCCTTTTTCACTTCCCTCACAAAACAAAGCTGCAATCATCTTGGGTAATGAAAAGCCGTCATAACCATGACATTCGTAAAACAAATATCAATTTAAAAATAAAAATATAATTACATGACAAAATATATATATATATATATATATATATATAGTTATATACTAGTTGTTGCGCTAATACAATTATAATTATAATTATAATAAAAAATAGACCAAAATATAAGTTATAAATTAATTTTTATCAAAAAAAAAAAAAAGTAGCTACGATGGGCTGCGGTGATACTGAGACACCACCGCCACCTGACATACTTTTGTTCCACATACTACCAAGGGTGCCAGGTAAGTCCGTACACCGTTTTCTGTTCGTTTGCAAGCAATGGCAGTCGTTCTTGACAACACCAACGTTTGCCAAGATGCATCAACACCACCACAAACTTCTTATTACCTTATCCACCACAACACCATGCAAGTTTAGCACCATCAACTTGGAAGCACCTCAAGACGGTCTAACCGCGAGCCGTCCTTTACCATTCGAAGCCAGTCATGAACACGTACAGATCATAGGGTCTGCACGTGGACTGGTATGTTTACGCATGATTAACAAATGCAACGGGAGGATATACACCGATATAATTCTATGGAATCCTTTAACGGGTGAATACAAGACCGTGCCTAGACCCAACGTCGAAAAATGTCACGTGACCACTGCAAAAATAGTCGGGTTGTATTACAGTTGCGACGACTACAAGCTTCTACTCGTAACCAAGGACTGTAATGTTTATATATACTCGTTGAAATCCGACTCGTGGAGACACGTTGAGACGACAGAAGAGGAGTCGAGCTTTCTACCCACTTACACAGTTATAGGTTATCGGAATATCAATTGACTCAACCGTGTGTTTTATTAAACGAAAAAATGTATTTCATAAATACGATAACTAACTTGAATTTTGAAATGTCAAATTCTATAGTTGTTATACGGTTTGATTTGAAGACGGAAAGGTTGAGAAAGATGGCAAGTCCTTGTGACGGAAACGAGATATGGAAAAGGTGTACGAGTTCCATATGGTCGTAAGAGGGTGCATTCACTTGTACGTGAAATTTCGGGGACGGAATGGTGATTGAAGATTTGTAGCGGAGCTGTGGCGGATGGACGGAGACGGAGACGGAGATTGGAGATTGGAGAGGTTCAAATGAGAACACCTCTGTTTTACGAGAATGCAAGAACATTTATGGGCCTCTAAATATTTAACCCACAATTAAAATTAAAATAAAAAATAAAAAAATAAAGTAATTAATTAAGGTTAATCATTTGATTAATTTCGTATTTATCTGTAATTTTGTTAATTTTGTTGGCAGCCCTAACTCTAAAATCACATACATATAATACGGTATCAAATAATTATCATAGAAAAATCACAAAATGAACATACATGTCGATTATTATAGACATGATCATCTTTGGTTTTCGATTATCATAACATTATCACATCGTTATCACAACAAAAATCACATAATTATTAGATGATTATCACATTAAAATCACATAATAAACAATCTTCAATTTATCAAATCATTATCACGTATTATCACTACAAAATCAGATCATTATTTCATTGCTTTTAATATAATCACATTGGTTTGTTATTTGTTTTAAATTTTCTTTTCTTAAATCCTATTGGTTTTCTATTCACATTGGGTTACATTACAGATGATGGTTATTCGATGTTTTTTATAGTAAAAATGTGAAAACTTGATTTGTTGTATTGACAACACATAGATACCCCCACCCCCNTATATATATATATATATATATATATATATACACATACACATTAGTTGTGTATCCACGCAATGCATCAGAAGCCGTGAATTTTAACGATTTTGAAGTTTTACTGATTTTATTAAAGAAGATTTAACGATGATATAAGTTACACTTGGTGGTGTTGGTGGTTGTACATTATGCTTTGTTAGTTGTGATTCATAGTTTTTTTGAACTTTATGTATAAAATGGTTGTACATTGTGCTTTATGACTTGTCTTTAAAAGTTTTTTTTTTTGAAAATCTTACATAAAATGGTTATAACTTGTGCTTAAAGGGGTCACAACACAAGTAGGGGTACTCAAAAACCCGACCAACCCGATCAACCCAACCTAACCAAATGCGAAATAACTCAACCCGAAGCAACCCGATGTCTAATCGAGTTGTAAAATTTTCAAACCGTATATATTGGGTTGATATTGGATTACTATTATTTGAACCCAACCCAATCCAATGAACCCGATATCCTTTTACTTCTTGGATTTAATATGATTGTTGAATTTCTATTAATATATGCATTAGACAATAACACTATCACGTACATTTTTCATATACACATCTTTTCAATTTATTCACATCTTTATATAACTCATTCATATATATGTTCAGTAATTGTAAACATATATACGTAAATTGAGAAAATTAACTGAATGTGATATACGTAAGAAGTATGGATAAATTGTATAAAATGGTTGATGATGAAAAATAAATTATGAGTTGAGAAATAACATATTCAAGGTTAAAAAAATATTTTAATGTATCAAATTATCAACCCGACCAACTCGTACGATTTGAGTTGGGTTAGGTTGATCAAATGTTTTCAACCCGATAAACCCAACCCGTTAATACCCCTAGTCACAAGTGTACCATCAACTTTTTCTGCAAAAACCTTTACAGTAGGGTCACAAGAGTGAGACTAAGAGGAGTCTTGTCCAACAGCCAAAATAGGTGACCCCTGGTCACTTGCTGTTTCTTCGGATTATGCATACTTCAGAGAGGGTAGCAGCAGCAGCAGCAGGTGGAGGTTGTTACCATTTTTTGCCATCTTCCAAAACAGTGAAAGGTCCTTCCAACTTTTCAGAATCAGTGGCTCTGGAGAGTTGAAAAAAACCAACAGGTCTTCACGGTTTTCAGTACAGGGCAGATCTCCAAAAGCCATTGGAGGTTTTGGGTTCAAGCAGGTGACCGTTGGATGATCTTCAAAGTAGACCTCCATATTTTATTTTTAGTAGCGAGAGCATTTCCATGAGAGAAAACTTTGAAAATGCAAAGAAAAACCAACAAAACACACATTGAACCATCTTCAAGGGTGTTACTTGCATAGAGCCTTATGACCTCCTTTTGGCCTTTAATGGCGTTTTCATGGTTTTTCAGAAGGGGGTTGACCCACTTCCCCATTGAACCAAGAGGGATAGGATAGCAGCGGCAACACTTGCTACGCACCACAGGTGGTGCATCTATTGCAGCTGCCACCACAGAGCATATCAACACAGCTGCAAAATAAGATAGCACCATTTTCAGAAATTTCCTCCGGTTATGAGATAGCACCATTTTCAGAATTTCCTTGATGGCCTTGCCTAGCTTCCGTGAAAGAGTAAATGCCATCAAAGAGATACCGGATATATGGAGCACAATGTACAACCATTTTATGCATAAAGTTCAAAAAAACTATGACAGTACAACCCACCAACACCACCAAAGTTGAAACTTTCAGTTTCACTTTTTTAGTTGAAGCTTTTTTCATCCTCTCTTTACAGCTTTCTTCCACCCATTTAGTAACTTTCAAACCATTATTTATTGCTTCTTGTTTCTTCCTTCCCTATTTAAGCTATTTTATATGTATTTTTTAAATTTCATCCTAAATTTCAAATATTTATTATTTTAATCATTATAATAATTTAATGGTCTCACTTTTAATGCTTTTTTGTGACTATTTTAATTTAAGTTTATCTTTTTCTTGGTTATAATTATTACTTAACAGCGAGCGAGAGGAAGAGTATGTTGAAACTAGCTCAACGAGTGATGGATAATTTCTGTGCTGGTGTTTGTGCGTCCACCGTGTATAAATGGAACAAACTTTGTGCGAATAACGTTGATGAAGATGTTCGAGTGATGACAAGGCAAAGCGTCGATGACCCCGGTGAGCCACCCGAGATCGTTTTAAGTGCGGCTACTTCAGTTTGGTTGCCGGTGTCACCTCAACGACTGTTCAATTTCCTTCGTGAAGAACGGTTGCGAAGCGAATGGGACATTTTGTCCAACGAAGGACCGATGCAAAAAATGGGCATATCGCCAAGGGCCAAGATCACGGCAACTGCGTCTCCCTCCTTCGTGCTACTGTAAGCTTTCTATGTATCTCTCAATACGTTTACATCAAATAAATACGTGTTATTCTTATTGTCGGCTTTTCTTAAAAAATGCAAACGTAAAACTTTTTGGGAAGACGAAATTTGTGTACATGTATGTATTTTTGTTTGTTATTTATTGATTGATTGTGCGTAGTTGATATTGGCATCATGAGGGGAATGGGGAAATATTACCAAAAAGGACAGGGGTAGAAGCGTAATTTCACATGTGTAAGGAAAGAGTAGGAACTATTTCAGAACGTACAGACTGTACGCATGTCACAATTGTAACTTATATTTATTCAAATTGTATTAATATGTAAAGACCAATTGTAACTTATATCATCGTTAAATCTTCTCTAATAAAATCAGTGAAACTTCAAAATCGTTAAAATTCATGGCTCCCTCTGCAATGCGCAGGTATACAACTAGTATCTATATCTATATCTATACTATATATATAGGCATTTAGACTCATATATTAATTACAAACCATAAGGCATAAAGTACTGCCATTTTATACATACATTTCAAAAAACTATTAATAACAAATTATAAAACATAATGTACAACTTGTTAATGCATAACAGATTCAGACCTTTCCCAGCTATCCCTGGGCGCCAAAACCATTTTGGTAAGGTCATACCTTTCTTTTTTCTAATAACAGTCTTGTTCTTCCTTTTCCATCTCTCCCCTGTGCGTCAAACCATTTTGGTAANCCTTTCTTTTTTCTAATAACAGTCTTGTTCTTCCTTTTCCATCTCTCCCCTGTGCGTCAAACCATTTTGGTAAGGTCATACCTTTCTTTTTTCTATTAACAGTCTTGTTCTTCCTTTTCCATCTCTCCTCTGTGCGTCAAACCAGTTTGGTAAGGATCAGACCTTGCTTTCTTCCATTGCTACTACCTTTGCACAAATGGCTGATTTGATGTATCAAATTCGTGGCCCCCAACCTGTGCATATAACCTGAAATTTGAAGTTTTGATTTCTCCATTTCCATTTCAAAACCCTAACGATTTTATGGTCTTAATTATAGGGTTTCACAGGTTCATATGTATCACCTCGAACTCGAACAGATGGTTTCTTCTCTCACAGTCTTCAAAAGAGATTTCATGTATCAAACGGTTTGATGTATCATAACCTCATCGATTTTAATTTCACGGGTTCTTCGAAACCCTAGAGATTTCCATTTCAATTTGAAGGTATGCTCTTCAAAACCCTATTGATTTCGATTTCAATTTTTATTAAGATTTCCATTTCCATTTTTAGAGGTGATTTTGATTTCCATTATAAATTTTCTCTTCAATTCATATGTTACGGTCCAAAATGTTTTTTGATTTCTGAATATCAATGCACACATACGGGATGTTTTAAGTTCCTTAATATTTCTCTTTGAAGCGGATTTATAAACACATACGAGATGTTTTGATGTTCTCATTCTCAATTGATTGTTGGTGTTTGTTGTAGCTAGTGACATTGAATATGACAAGTAGTTGAATGTTTTGGGCAGTGATGGATAAATTGGACATGTTTGCTTTCAAATTTGGAAAATGGTTTTATAGAAGCATATCAGCATCTTTTTTTATTTTCTTATTTCATTGTCGGGTGGGAAGATTGAAGATCGATGAAGACTTAACATGTTTGCTTTCAAATTTGGAAAATGGTTTTACAGGAAGCTATATTAATTGGAACCGTTGGTGAATCAGGCCAGATTTTTGTAAATCTGCAACTTATAGTTTCAACAGCACCATGCTCCAGGTTGCTGGGATCCGAGGTAAATGTCAAACTTTCATATATATATATATATAATAGATAGGTATATATATATATATTATATTTTAGAAATTAAACTATATACAAAAGCAAAAGTGAATTTTTGGACTAAACCATGGTTGGTCTTTAAAGACATTGTTTGCTCAAGTAGTCACAATGATAAGTTTCTTTAGTTGAAGCTGCTATGTATTATGTTAGAGTTGACTGAAGGCAAACTTACCTCTGACTGAAGAGGCCAGGGGCAGGGGTTTAGTATATTTTCTGTGAGGCCACTCTTCATATGTTCCACCATGCATAAAGTTGAGATTGGTGTTTTATTGGTTTTAAATCATTTGTCATATAATGTTTCATATAATGTAACACATATATGCATTAATATGCCCTGTGCACAAATCACAACAAAGAAAAAATCACATTAATATAGCACATATATGCATTAATATGCCCTGTCATATCAGGGTTCGGTGTTACCCATTGCCYGTAATCTTGTATCAACTGCTGCAGTAGCAGTGWTACAAGTCTGCATATATTGTTGCTTAATAAAAAAATATAAGCATTGTTGATATCTATATCAATATTGGATCCTTGTGATGACTTTGTTTGACCACTGAAGACAAACTTACCTCTGAATGAAGAGGCCAGGGGCAGGGGTTTAGTATATTTTCTGTGAGGCCACTCTTCATATGTTCCACCATATGAAGTTAAGATTGGTGTTTTATTGGTTTTAAATAATTTTTCATATCATGTTTCATATAATATAGCACATATATGCATTAATATGCCCTGTGCACAAATCACATTAATATAGCACATATATGCATTAATATGCCCTGTCATATCAGGGATCTGTGTTACCCATTGCCYGTRATCTTGTATCAAYTGTTGTAGTAGCAGTGGTACAAGTCTGTCAACTAAAGCTTGCATCATTTTACATGCCACCATAATTCATTGTTAAAGATGCATGTTTCTGCCTAAAATYAGCTCTAGAGACATGAACCCAAACTAACTATAGAGACGTGAACCCAAACTAACTATGTTATAAACCATAACTCTAGAGACATTTTCTATTATTAGTTCCTGCTTTTTCAACTTATTATCCCACTTAACACGGTAATCAGTAACACACAATCTACCATGACAGAATTCAGGTTCATGTCTAGATAGACTTGCAGCAGCACAGATGTTTGGCTGCAAAGCCATAGGGAAAGAAGATGCTTCTTTTGTGGATTGATCAACTTCTTTGATAGGGAGTCACCTACAACAATTAACAGGTTCAGGGAGTCACCTACAACAATTAACAGGTTCTTGAAACAGAAATAATGCACAAGTAATAAATTTACCCAAGGGATTGTCTTTGGTGGTTCACTGCTCCATCCCTGGTATGAATCTTCATACTTATGCACCTTCTCTTGTAGTCTTGTAGAAACGGATGTGTTGTGGCATTACAGTAGCAGCAGTAGCTTTTTCTAACCTCTGGAAGGTGCATGTGTTGTGGCATTACAGTAGCCGCAGCAGCAGCCTGCTTAATCAAAATTGTGAGAAAAACAAAACACAAACAAATCAATTGCATGGCTCTTACCATGGTAAGCGCTTACAAAGTAAATTATTGAATATGATGTCGTTTTTGTGAACCAAAATCTTACCCGCTAAATAAATGATAGTGTTAAATTTTACCGATRAGCACTTACCAAATAAATGTTTGGTAAACAGCYCCTAAGTTTTGCAACCKCCATTTTGCAAGTGTCCAAACTTATAAATGATCTGTCACCTACTATGTTATAGAAACCACATTATGTAGATAACTGAATGCCACTTGCGTGATTATTGTCCTAAATTATACAGTGTCKTAAGAGTTCTAGGCAAACTAAAACAAGAATCACGTCAAACATGTAATGGTACCGAATTGTCAAACATGATTATTGTCCTAAATTATACAGTGTCTTAAGCTTCTCATCATAACTTCCATTATCACCGAAACCCAACTTGTGTATGGTCTGACCTTGGGTCCAAATGGGTCGTTCATAATCTTTCATATGGTTATATAATTGCCACAAGTGTTCATATGTGTCATGTTCATAACTGCKCCAAGTGTTCATATATGTCAAATTRTGTTCATAATTTTCAATAGTGTTCATATATGTCCAATTTGTGTTAATATAAGTACTATGAGGGTCCATATGCCAAATATGGCCCTGATGTTTAACGACAATTTGCAGCAGCGGCGCTTTTTATCGATAATGCCCGGTGGGATGGCGTTYTGTTTCTTAWGAAATCCGGCAAGGCCCTCAATACTAGACGGTATACCTTCTTTTTACGCTACGTTTATTAGCTTCCAAGTTTCAAACCGAGTACTCGAATGAAATATGATTTGCAAAATCTCAAGGCACTACAACCAAATCACATTTATAGGATGTCAAATATGTCTAAGGGGTTGTTTGGTTGGGTTTCCATTAAGTGCGGTATGAATAAAGCTGTCTATGTGAATTAATCTGCCTGTATAGATTGAGAAAATTTTTGTTTGGGAGGGGAAAAAATTGCTTTCTGCATAAATTGTGATATTTGTAAATTGTGAATTACATTTTGAATCACAAATGATCTTATACATATTAAACATGTTCTCTTACATAACAAATGCTATTATGTTTCTATTATTGTTTTTTTTCTAGTGTTTAATTTGAATAATTGTTTATCACATGTGATAAAAAAAAAGAATTATATTAAAAAAATTAATTAATTGTTAATCACGTATTATTTGACGAAAATTATATATATTTTTTACAATACTCTCTTAAAAAATAAATTCTTTAAATGAAAATCTTTTACGCTTATTTTAAACGTACTAGAAGGGTACTTGTGCAATGCATCGAGATGTATCTCGATTTCAATGCCTCGTTTCATTATTTATCTATGTTGATATAATACGGTTTTATGTGGTTTTAAGAAAGCTATAGACAGCTGTCTGTGCGTAGGTGGTAGCACAAATAAGGAATGCGGAAAACTCTGTCGGAAGAAATTAAGCTCTGAAGCTACTTAAATGGAAAAAGAAAACTGTGAGGAAGAAAGCAAGGTTTGAATCGACTATTTTGGGTTTGTGTTTTGTGAGGAAGAAAGCCGTAGGAGGTTTTTGGGTTCAAGTAGGTGACCATTGGATCATCTTCAAAGTAGACCTCCATATTGCCATTGATCGTTAGATGATTTTTTTTTCTTTAAAAACAGGGATATCTTTAGCAAGAACCAACAAAACACACATTGAACCATCTTCAAGGGTGTGAGCTTATGACCTCCTTTTGGCCTTTAATGGCGTTTTCATAGTTTTCTTCAGAAGGGAGTTGATCCACTTCACCATTGAACCAAGAGGGATGGCAGCGGCAACACTTGCTACGCACCACACAGCATATCAACACTCTGTCGGAAGAAATTAAGCTACTTAAACTAATCAAACACCAACATTTTAATCGACTATTTTGGGTTTGTGTTTTATAAGATTTTTGATAAAATGGTAATAGCTTGTGTTTAAAGAAATGTACTTATGTAATAGAGGAAATATGATTTGAAAATCCTAAAAAGGTGATACAGTCAATTGCTCTTCAAATCCTTCCACTTCAAGAGAAGCTTCAAGGGTGAGGAGATGCTGAAAATCGAACTTGACTTGTTGTTAGATATGCAGGTTGAAGAGCTGAAAGGAAGACAGAAGAATTTGACTGATGGAAATCCTAGTAAGTGATTTTTCTTACAAAGTTTGATTTACAAAAACACACACAACAAAGAGATACAAGAACACATTACCTTTTGGAAAACCCCCCCAAAGGGCTTGTAACAGGAAAAACACACATCTCTTGTGTCTTCAATCCTTTGGGAGAATTTCTTCCACCATCTCTTAAAAACACAAAATAAAACCCCATATTAACCCTATATTTTTCTGCCTTTTTCACTTCCCTCACAAAACAAAGCTGTAATCATTCTCAACCTCATTCCTCCTGATTTCCTCCCATTGTGAGATAGCAGAAATGGCCTTGTCCATCTTCCCTGAAAGAATAAATTCCATCAAAGCAATACTGGATGACATGAAGACGCAAATGGTGGAGGAGGAGAATACCATTAGGACTAAGGATCAGACCATGGCAGAACTTGCTCTTCTAATCCCTCCACTCAAAGAGAATCTGCAAGAGGCCGTCAAATGAAACCAAAAGGTTGTTGCATGCCAGGGAGATGGAGATTGAAGAAATTGACTGATAGTAAGTGATTTTTCTAACAATCTTGATTGTGTTTAT